CTGAAACAATTGGAAAGTGAGACCATCCATCCTGTGGCTGGCCCATGGAAGTTTGCCGTGTCGGTGGACTCCAGTTGTTGGCGATGTGGATCGTTTGTTCGTTCCGGATGAAATCGTTGATTGGCTGGTAATACCAGTGATGGGCCATACATTCCTGCTTCCATGTCAATCGAGCCACCCCGCTTGAGGCAACTTTCGCTGCTGCACCACGGCCATGGGAACGATACATGTTCCAAGGCAAGGGAATAAGCTCCCCACCGGAACGCGTCCCAGCTTACCCGGGTGTTGGAGCTGCCTGAGGTCGCGTCCTGGTGTCACACCTCAAGTAGCGAATCGCACTTCGAAGTATTGGAGCACAGACGCCACCGAATTTGACACAACATGCCAGATTTGACTCATCACGTTGTGGGTGTTCCGGTCAGCACATGGTGTTTGTGGCTGCTGGGGCGACGCTGGTTTCTTGTGGCCTGTGTTTGCTGGGAACCGGGACGTGAAGTTTTCTTGATCGTGCGGGTGGACAAGGCTGGTTCGATACCTCCCGCCACGTTTTTGCGAAGGAATGTACGACTGCCAATGTTATGGTGCATCCGCCTTGACTCATTCACCCGTAGCATGAACCCATGAGAAACGCCATTGCGCGCGGTCCCATGGATGGAGCGGGCATCGAATATTTGGAATCGGTGGTTGGAAAAGTTCACGGGCTCGATCGCGCTGCACGACACCCCGGCTAGATTTTAACATACATGGACAACTCATGCCCGCTCTCGTCGAGAGATATCGCACGTTCTACCCAGTGTTGTAAGCAAGTACGACGGCGTTAGAAATTACGCCAAGTCCAACTACGTTGCTCCAACTCGCGACAGCGCCTTCTAGCCCTCCTCGGGGCAGCCCGTCGACCATAGCGCAAGGGATTCTAGGAATCCGTGAAAGCATCCGCCACATCCATAGTTGACCAAGAGCAGCTCTGTGTCTTCCCCAGGTAACGGAGAAAATTTAAAGTCCCCGGACAGCACGATGCGATCCATCGCTCGTCCGTCTGCGACGACAACGATGGCATTGTCGTACACCCCGACTGCCAGATCGTGCCACGTCTTGTGCGGGAGCTTGACGTCGCCGCCCCCATCTTGAATAGTGTGCATTTCGCTATGGCAATTCAACAGCACGACCAACGACCCGTCCTCTGTGATCTTGACGACGAAGTAGCGATGGCTGATGCCGAGCGTCATCAGATAGCACGGGCCCATCGAGGCAAACCGCATCGTAACGAGAAACGCGTAGTTGTTCAGGCGCCGATTGAAGCAGTTGCCGGCGCGGGTCAAGTTGGCCTGGTGGAATGCTTCGCTGTAGTAGTCGCCGTCAAAGTACGTCCCGAGTTCTGGATGGATGAAGCTGCCCTTGGGGACAGCCATCTCTTTCCCTACATAGTCAATGAGGGGGTGTCCCTCGAAAACGATCGCACACAGCAACATCAGTGTATGGACAGTACCCTCCACGCTGTCGACAACGCTCGTCTTCATGTCGCGGTAGTCGCAAAGGGCATTCATCTTCCACTCGACCACACACCCGTGGACCATCCCGAGGTGGGTTGCACGGCAGTCGGGGAATCCGTCCGGGTGACCGACGACAGGTTGCGGCCTCATACACGGCACGGTCGAGTACAACTCGATTTTGCGCAAGTTGCCGTGGAAGAGGTTCGTCATGGTGTCAAGTCGGGTGAGGGAAAATTCGTTGCCGTGGGTGGGGCTGTCGGCCGTAAAGTCGAATTGCGGCGGTAACGAAATCGGATCCATTCGCTCAGTGTTGACCACGACCTAGTCCAAGCGGAAAGCATCAACAGCACGTCTCAAGAAGCACGACGACCTGGATCAGAGCATGCGGTACATCGACGAGGACAGCAACGTCGAGCCACGTCTCCTTTGGCACTTGCCATGGGTGTCCTAAATGCAAAATACTGTCTTTACGCACGCCACGACTTGACGCGACGCACCGTGGAGCTGAACGACGAAGCTGTCGACTTCTCGATTGCATTGAATGATGAGGCACATGTCGGAGCTGATGTCGATGGCAAACCACGGGTTGTACCCGGCGCAGATTGGCGTCGCGTCGCCGCGGACTACCTTCATTTTGAACGACAGGAGGAACTCCCGTTTGTCCAAACGACTCGCCAACGGCTCGAGGCGATGGACCTCCCAGTTGTTCTTCATCAGGTCGGCATAGTCGCCGTTCGAGAACAATCCCCCCAGCACGGACATGCTGCATGCGGGTGTCGGCCACGTCAGTTTGTGGTTCGAGAGTTGGTTGGCGCCGCTCGTTTCGAGCTGGTACTTGTATAGTTGAGCCCACGTTGGCGGCAGGAGCGCTGCCTTAATCTCTTCAAACGTCTCTTGCGTCGTTGTAAGAGTTCTGGGGGAGACCGCATTCGTAGGGGTCGCTTCCTTGGCCTGAAGGAGCTGCGACGGCACTCCAGACGCCTTGAATTCAGTAATCTTATCAAACAACATGCGCGCCTTGGGCGCCAAGGCCACGCCCATCTCTTTGACCTCGTCGGCACTTGCCACACCACACAAAACTTCGCCCGTGATCTCATTCTCCACAAACGCAGCACTGCCATCCATCCATCATTGAGTGCAAGTGTCGCCCATATCCCACGAACCTGTACTTTGAACACGTCAAATTGTTGAGCAATGCCCCAACTTGGTGATGCGTCAAAGTCGCCAAGGCAACGGTGCTAATTGTCGATGCCCGGGGGGATGGGTCGCCTGCCCCAGTGGTCGCAACGCCCAAGGGAGGAGCGGCCATCACGTCATGTTGGGCAACAGATTGAATTCTCTCGGCGAGAGGTGCGCCAGCGACACTGACGATCTTGGCCACAAGCTCGTCGACCTTTGATGCCAGCAGCTGGTCGTTGCCAAACGCCGAGCTCAAGTCGAGGTATAAATGCCCGCCCAACACAAATCCCACTTCGCCCGTCCAGTTGCCTGTGTTCTTCAATGCTGGGCTCGGATCAATCAGTACCGGGATCATTTTGGACGCGGTCTTGCGCCGTGCGGCGTAGTTAAACTCGAGTTGGCAATTGTCTTCGGCGTTGTTGCCCCCGACTTTGTCGATGTAGCGCTGCGTCACGAACACGACAATTGCGCGGGCGTGGTCGATCCCGTGGATCATCTGCTTCTTCACATTGCCCTTGGATCCATGTGAGTTGTCAACGATCATGCACTGTGCGATGCATCGACTCTTTGCGGCATACCTCCATCTTTTCTTCGTCAAACCACGTTGTGATGCCTCGAGCTTTGAGAAGTGTGTTGACAGCACTCACGTTTTTGTGAGTTGTTCCATCCATGCCCCAATCGTGGGTCAGGAACACGTCCGTGAGCTCCAAGAAGACCGCATGGAGCTTGTCGCGGGTCACGACGCCGTCGACAGCGGCCTTGTTCCATTCCCCCTCGTCGAAGAGGTCCCCATAGAGTGACTGGCACTGCTCCTTGGTCACCACATCGACGCTGGCACCGGCCCCCATTCTTCGTGAAACCACCACGATGTGCCGGTTGTATGCAATCGGTTACACCCAACACGAAATGCAAGTGCACTGCTCTGAAATGTCCTTCCACGACGATCTTTGCCGCTTGCAGTGTCTGCAGTCGTGTAACCAGGGACGGTGCTGCTGTGGCAGTTCGACTGCTCTGTCCAACTTCATATTCGTCGTTCCTTGCGAATGCATGTGTCCTTGGCATCGCAGGCTGTGAGTCTGTGGGCGGCGTCGTTAGGTGGCCAGGATAACCACCGCAACCAGACCAAGGGTTGTAGCAATGGCACTCTCAAATAACGACTGTGGCGAGAAAGAACTGTCATGTTGCAAGAAGCACTGACGAAACTTGCGCCATCATCTTGCGGCACGCAAGATGATGACTGGTAGTTTGCACAATATTTGGCAGGATGGCTTTTGCGCTCACGTCCATTCATCTCCTTTTGTCCTTGTATGCGGCTGCAGGGACTTCAGAGGGGAGGCAGCATTCTCTCACGTACGACGAGGCCATTTTGGATCGGAAGAAAGGCAACTCGGTCAGAAACTGCGTCAAGCTCGCAAGAGTGTCCATGGTAACCATCGAAGGTATTTTGAATAACATGGATTTGGCCCACGTACATCCTAGTACTTGCACGATGTCCGTTTGGTTGGTCGAATTGCTCGGAGCTCCATCTGTTGCCAAGCGGACATGTACTGTAGCAAAGGTCGCAATTTCCGCACTACTGTACCCTTCGCCGATCAAAAATACTCACCAATTCGCACTAATATGCTTGGAATTCGTCAAAATCGTACAGGAGCCATTGAATTCGCCAGGTTCGTTTGTAGCTAAATTGGTTCGCTGTCTTCGATGGCAACTGAATATATCAGCCTCATGTTGTGTGCAGTGGCGTCAGCCATGCCCTGCCACGCACAGGTGGAGCCCGCAGAGGACCACAGAGCGCCACCGACATGAATCAAGCATGGCATAGAAACGTTCCATTGTAGAAGAACGACGGTTGCCAATAGCCACTCAAGGGAGCCAATAAGGAACGAGTGTAGAGGCACGGACGGGACAGCTCACTCTTAGTTTTGCCCGCTTGGCAGCAATTCAATCAAGTCAGTGATTCAAGGAAGGCGGTACTCCCCTTTCTGGTTGTTCGATTTGCATGCGGGGCAGAATCTGCTCAAAGTTAACTTTAGTGGATCCAGTTACCATGGAACTGAGAGCGATGACGAGAAGCGCTAGCACTTCCCCAACTCAAGTGAAGGCGCCGCGACGTTCATCTCGGGTGAAGTCGACAACAACGTCCGTTAATGTCGGGAGCGAGACCGAGGACGAACAGAAGGTGACGGAGCCTGCTCTGGGCCCAGAGAGTGAGATCGCATCAGTGCTGCCTGCAGGTAAGAAGTTCCAAAGTCACGGGATGGGATCTCGCTAGACCGAGGATGAACAGAAGGTGACGGAATCTGCGCTGGACCCAGTGAGTGGGATCACGACAGTGCTGCCGGCCGCTGAGAAGTTTAAAGTCACGGGTTGGGATCTCGAAAACTTCGGTACGAAGTTCCGACCTCATCTCCAAGATTATCTAACGGCCAAGAAGCGAATCGGCGCCCACTGGGAAGTTTTGTATGCAAATCTGCTTGAAGTGGAGTACATCAAGGAAGATTATTCCGAAGAACATGAGAGGAAACAAGTGGAAACACACAAAAAGTACGAGAGCGTGAAGAGCGGCGGAAAAAATGGAGTGGACATTCTGACACACCCTCGGATAGCTCGATAGAGCGCAATGAAGAAGCGGAGTACTGGGAGCGAGAACGCATCAAAGCTGAACGACACCAGTACAATCGTGAGGCCAAGTCCAGGAACCGCAAAGACCTACGGGACTACGCCCAGGAAGCACGAGATAGACATGTACAACGGCTGGCGCCCGAAAGGGATGACAAAGATGATGCATGTTGGGGAACTGTGTGGACAAACCCACCCACAAGTGGCAGTTGGAAACCTATGAGCGACCAGCGCTGGTTGTGAACGATGTTCCCTGCCCTCCGATCACAACAATTGATCGTGAATTCCTCGTGCAGTGGAAGCGCAAACGCGAGAAGTATGAGGGCAAGCTGAAGGCTATCGCACAACGCATGGGCCACGGCTGGGAGCGGACAGCGGTTGGCTGGATTGAGTCGACAGATCGAAGTCTGCTCAATGCGACTTGCATGTATGTGTGGAACATAGCAATGGCCGATATCACCTAGGACGAATACAAATACCGAATCCGGGAAATCATCTGTCAGCCCGCGAACGAATGGATGTGGACAAAGCAAGATATGGAAATGCATTGCCAGCATCTGCGTTTGGACCCATTCGGTGATGTGAATGCTCGTTTGGTCTCCTACATGGAGAAGGTCCAAGACGTGATTGAAAAACACGGGTTGTCGCAACAGCTCAAGATGAAGGGGACGATGAAGACGTTTATCAAAGTCATTGCGGCTCGAATATCCCCCAGTGATCTGCGTCAACTGGAAGACCAGGTCATGGCAATTGAGGCCGGCGATTTGATGCAGTTCGCGAAGGTGCTGCGTGAGCAACTCGAGAGAATCTACCAGGCCGAACTGGTGTTGGGACCTCGAGGTTGCACCGAGCGCAAGCGCGGACTAGATGTCAATGAGCCCAGTAGCCGAATACCTAGACAGTTGCGACAAGAACGGCATGTACGCGAGGTGCAGAAGTGGCAAGAAGCCCGAGGCAACGAGCCGCGACCCAAGGGAGGCTATGGTAAGCCTGCACCAGTCGTGCGCGGATACGTGAAACGTTTACATCCACCAACATATGGAAACGCAGCGACCAAGTATGGCACGCAGGTGTCCAAGGAAGTAGAAGGCTTGAGGAACAAACCGCGGATGTTAACGCATGACGTGGGCGACTATGTTTCTTATGCAACGAACTCGGACATTTTTCTCGAGAATGCCCCAAGAAGATGACCAATGGTGAGGCGCTCACGACGTTGAAAAGAGCGCGTAACGCAAAGAAGCGTTTCAAGGCCAAGATGCGCACGGCCAAGCGTGTGCGCAAGATGAGGTGGATGAATCGGGATTTGATGGCAGCCAACGATGGATCCGGTTGACAGTAGTCGACAGCTTGGAGGGGGCTTCTCAAATTTTTATCGACTTTCAAGGAGTTTTTGTAAAACACGATAAAATTACAACGATCAGCTGGATACTTAAGATTGACCAATCAAAACAAAGGTGACATGTTACTAATCAGATGCAGAGCCACTGGAGTCATCACTGCTATCGCTACTGGCGTCGCTGTCGCTGTCGTCGTCGTTGTCCTCTTGGTCCTTGATGTACTGGGCCAGCCTCTCGAGCTGCCGG